CTTTGAATAACCAACACAGTTTTGAAAAAGCAGAATAAAACTAGGGCACTCACATCTCTCGATTTCAAAATTTAGAACAAAGTCAGAGTAATCAAAATGTTGTGTTACTGTCATAAGGATGAATAGATGCTTGGACTAACAGGATTGAATTGAGAAATAAACTCATTTATCAATGACTAGTTGATTTTTCCAAGGCTACCAGACCATTTATTGAGGGAAAAATAATCTCTTCAACAGTGACATTTGTAATACTGGATAGTCTCATGCAAAATGGTGAAATTGGGGCCATGACACACACTATAAATAAAAAGTAACTTAAAATTGATCAATAGTCTAACACCATAAAATACAGGTTTTGTGGTTTTAAAATAATCAGTTTATACAGGCACAAATGTGCATATAACATTTCTTGGTTGTTTGTTGTTTAGTTTTTGAGAGGAGAGTCTCATTAAATTGGTCAGGCTGACCTTGAACTCAAGGCCCAAGTAGCTGGGATCATAGGCATGTATTTTGTGGTTTAAAATTTAAAAACCCTTTGAATAAAACACCTAGAAATAAATCTTTATGACTTTGGACTTGACTGTTGATGTAAGTAGGGATTCTTAGACACCCAAAACAATAAAAGAGAAATACTTTGAACTTCATCAAAATTTTAAAAACTTAAGAATTTAAAAAACTAAGTAAATGTAAAAGCAGCCTGAAAAATGTTAAGAAAACATTTGTGAGTCATATATTCAATAAGGATTTAGTAGGCAAAATCTGTAAGAACTGATAAAACTCTACACAAGTAACCCAGTTATAAAATGGGCAAACGTCTGAATGGAACTTTCTCCAAAGAAGACGCACAGATGGCCAGAACACATATAAAGAAGTCTTCCACATCATTAGTTAATAAGGAAATGAGATCAAACCCATAGTGGATGTATCGCTTTACACCCAGTGGGATGATTATAATTTGAAAACAAACCCAAAATAACAAATGTTGGCAAGGAATTGGAGAAAATGAAAACTTCCATACATCTTTGGTGGAATGTAGCACTCAGTTTCTATGAAAAACTGTATAATTCTTTAAAAAATTAAATATAGAATTACTGTATTATCCTAGCTATATACCTAAAAGAATGAAAGAAGTACATATGCACAGATTTGTAGCAGCATTACTGCTATGTAGCAAAATATGTAGCTGCATATTTTGAAAAGTGGACAAAATCTAGCTGTCCATCAACAGATGAGTGGATAAACATTGTCATATATATATATGGTATAATCATAATATATGGAAAAATATGTATAGATTAAAAATTAGAACAGTAAAAGACATTGCCATTAATCTCTCTCAAAATTAGACCTCCCACTTCAAAAACAAGTACTTATCCTATTGTTCTTACCACTTTCTGAAGCAGTTCTGGAAGTCCTCTTTGTGAATGTCTTTACAAGACATCAAAAACAGAGTGAATGCTGTTGCCTAGTGCTATCCAACAGAAAGACAGGCTTATAAAAATACTACAGAATATCCTCATTCACATTGTTCACTATGTGACTTTTGGCTCTTCCCAAAAGTCATAATAACTATGAATGGTAATCATTTCAAATTGATTCAGGACATTGAAGCAACCAAGATAGTACAAATAAAGACACTTTAGAAAAAGAACTTCAAGAACTGCTTCAGAAAGTGGTGAGAATAAGTGTGTGTGGGAGGTGGGCTCATTGCATTGTGTCTTCTTTCCCCACTGTCCCAGCTTCTCCATCTGGTTTCTTTTTGAAGTTATTTTTTATTGGTAGAGGTTTGTAATACATAGTGATTACATTTTCCTTGGGCAATAGGTACATATACATACTGAATTTTGATCATTTATACTCCTTTCCCTTGACCTGCCTTCTGGTGATATGTCTTACTGTAATATAAAAAATATTAAATATTCATGGTATTTTAAAATCACACTATGTATACATACAGTGGAATATTATTCATTCATAAAAAAGGAATAAACTACTAATAATACTGCAATCTCAGGGAACTCCAAAAACCTTAAGCTGTATGAAAGATGCCGGACAGAAAAGTACATATGTTGTATGATGCCATTTATAGGAAATAATTGACATAAATAAATTCAGAATGGAATATAGATTATTACTTTCTAGAAGACACATTGTCGTGGATGAGAATCTACTTGATACAGGGTTTTACTTTCAAGTAATAATGATTTGGAACTACAGATATGGTTGTACTACATTCTGAAAGTATAAATACTACAGAATTGTTCACTTTGTTCACTTTAAAATGATTGTTTGAATTTTGCCTGAATAAATCAAATGTTAACAAATCATATAAAATTTGTTTTTTTTTTTTTTTTTTTTGGGACAGGGTCTCACTGTGTAGTTCATTCTGGCCTTGAACTCACTGTGTAACCCAGGCTGGCCTAAAACTCTCAGTGATCCTCCTGCCTCATCCTCTTAAGTGTTGGGCTCAATGGCAAGAAAGACCAGTTACTAGAGCAATGATGGGAAATGAAAAGGAAACAATAACAAGAGAAAGATTCTACAGCAAAAAAATTTTATTGTGATGCATTAAGGTGCCGTGTGAGAAGTTTTAGGCAAGTGGCAAGTAGAGAAATCAAGGAAGGAATTGGTTTGAGGGAAATGATAATAACCTTTGTATTACATTTGATTTGAATATAGAAAATTTGTGTGGAAATGAAACAAGCTGCTGAGAATTGTAATGCTTGATATTTGAGATCCATTGTGATCTCAGTGTTAAGATCTTAAAGTAGCTGAGGATTAAAGGGAGTACTTTTGAGAGCTAAACTTCTAAACTTAGGGTATATGAAAACCTCAGGGAGCTCTGAAGTGACAGGTACAACTTAGTGAGGTTTTTTTTGGTTTGGAAAGTTGAGTTTCATGCAATTCTGAAAGAGTTACTGACTCCAAAGGATAAAAACCATTGCTAGCAAGTAAAGGAGGTGACTGATAAAGGTAAGACTGAGGAGAACCAAGACCAAAAAACCAAGATAAAGCTAGGATTGAAAGTTGTAGAAAATGACAGTAGAGGGAAAAATAATAATAACTATTAAATCAGACATTTAAAAAAGCCTAAAAAGGTACCAATTCATGTGGTATTATGCCACCAGAAGTACTCTGTATTTTTTAGACTCTATATAGTTGCAGTATATTAATTGATCATTGTTATGATGGTCTGATAATTAAGAATTTTGTTGTATGGACTTTGTTAATAGCAAAAAAAAATTACAAAGTGAATTTACATTGATTGTAATTCAGAAGTGAAAATAATGTTTATTTTTTAAAAAATGAGATATTTATTATCCAGAGTTACATTACCAGAGCATTTCAGCCCTTTTAAATTTTTACTGAGAAAATTTGTTCCCACTGGGTGTTATAATTGGTTGAAATATTTGGTTTATGCCAAATCAAGGATTCCATTTTCATGTAGGCCTCTTGAATCATAAAAACAGTATGTTGTTACTAAGTTAAGGTACCTCTAATCATTCGAAAAGTGTGCTTTTTTTTTTCTTATTTGCATAAGGTAAGTATTCACTAAGGTGATATATCCTTTGCAGATATATTTTGTTGTGAATTTAAAAAGTCATCATTTAGACATCCTTTGGGATCATTTGAGGAGAGTTCCACGTATTAAGCATTGTCATTTTCAGTAGCTTTAATTTGACATCCATTTTGTTCTTAATGTATTAAAAAGTGAAAAGGTCTTTATTCATGCCAATACAGTAGGATATTGTTCTTTATGACTATTTTGAATTGCCACTTTTTCTTTGCTATAGGAATTAAATGTGAAGTGATAGACAATTTGATTTAGAAAGTTTTTCTTAATGAGGCATTAGGTGAATTTTTGTTCTTTCACAAATTCTTTTATATATGCACTGGTTTTTGCTGGGTTTTGTGGCTTACGTTTGTAAACCTATCTTTCAGGAGGCTAAGGGAGGAAGATCTGGAGTTTGAAGCCAGACTGGGATCAGAGCAAGATCCTGTCTCAAAACTGAGTTACAAAGAGTTGGCTTTATAGTTCAGTGATAGAGCACCTGCCTGGCATGCATGAAAGAGCACCTGCCTGGCATGCATGAAGCCGAGGGTTAATTCCCCAGTACCAGAAAAAACAAAAAGGGATTTCTTAAGTGGCTACATTGGTATTTGTGTTATAGAATAGGAAAGGAAATGGGAAGCTTTCATGCTTCTATGATTAATTCCTCTAAGCAGCATCTGCTTTTTCTCTGCTTCCAGTAATCAATTACATCTTTTAAAGAAATTTACATTTCTAAGGCAAATAATACAGTTTTGTTCTCTTTTGGGAATTTAAAGTAGTTTATTTTGTGTCACATTAAAAAAATAAATGCACATCAAATTAACGTTGTTTACTTGAGTATATTCAAAATAATATTTAACATACAAACAATATAAGAATCATTAAATCATTGAATCATTGAATTCAATTTGTTTGTTCTGGTGGTATGATGCCTGGGATTAGACTCCAGGCTTTGGACTTGCACAACAGGGTCTGTACCGCTAAGCTACATACCCAGCTTACTTTATATAGTTAATTTATATAATTTTTGATGTCCAGTTTAAAACCTGCCTCGATTTGAATTGGCTACATTCCAAGTGCTCAGTATCAAAATGTGACTAATGACTACACTATTGTACAGGTCAGTTCTATAAGTCAGAACAGATTCTTAAGTGTCTAGATAAATGGACAGATAAAAGGAGATAGTTATTTTATATGAATTGAATTTGATGAGTTTAATAACTAGTTACCCATAACTCAATAATGTCATTTGTAAATGACACTTGAACTAGGCTTTTTTTTTTTCTTCATTGGGAAGTTATTTGGTGGAAAGTTGCAGGGGATATTACATAGATAGAATTTTTACTTTGTAGTTGCGCTTAATACCTGAATTACACATTGAATTGTTTTTACTTTATATACATGTTGATGCTTCCATGAAATTTCAGTATATATCTATAATCTTTAGCATAAATGCAGTTCCAACTACAATGAAGATTTTGTGCTACAACTAGAGAAGGAATTGGTTCAGGCCAGACTGAGTGAAGCTGAGTCTCAGTGTGCACTAAAGGAGATGCAAGATAAAGTTCTGGATATAGAGAAGGTAAGAAACTACTGTATATAAATGCTCTCTGCTCCTAAATTAGGAGAAATGGTAGATTTTAAGTACTTATTGAGCAAATTTGACTTGGTATTTTTTACTAAAAGTCTTACACATTGGTGCTGAGGATGTCACTCAGAGTAGTAAGAGCACTTGCCTAGCAACACACATATGCACACAACATACTAGAAACTAGAGAACAAAGAAAACACTTTAAGATTGCCAATTCTTTGTTGTTTCCAAAATAATCCAGGACACATATTTAAGAATAAAAATGGGAATTAGAGCCCTTTTAGAAGAAAAGGATGAAGATAATTTTTATGGGAAGAATATTTAAATGTTAAAGAACATAAACTTAGGAGACAAAAATCAGTTTTCCTCAAATATTGTATCTTTTGTAGAAGAGATAGAACTAATACATAGACATGTATTAGTGGAACTTTTACATGTGGTGACATGTGGAACTTTTTTTTTCTGCATGTAATTATTAAAACCCTTTACACTAAAACAAGCCCCCTCGGGATATATAGGAAATTCCCCTTTGCCTGAGTTGTACTTATTTATAAAAGTTAACTTCTCAATATTGTTACAGACTATCAAGGCCTATTAGATAAGTTAGATAATCCTCAGATTTTGAGACTGTGTGCTAGATCATGAACTCTTTGTTTTCTCATCTATAAAATGATTGATTGTTTGGGCTCTGTGTTGAGTTTGTTCTTTTTCATCCATGGGTAATATCTAACCATTGAATCAAGAAGGCTCCATAGATAACAGACATAAACACCTCAGATTGGTCTTAACTATTTCTTAGTGAAATAGAAATGTAACTAGAACCAGTAGTGGAATAATTTTTTTAGATATCTTCTCATTGTTTGTATATTATCTGGCAGATTCATTCTCTGATTTGTTGTGAATAATCAAGCAACAATGTTGTAAGGTATTAAAAGAAATACATAGCAGAATATTTAATCTAACTTTGGAGTAGTGTTTTGGCCTCCATGATTTATGTAAGAATACAAATCTTTTTTTTTTTTTTTAAGAATACAAATCTTGCATTTAGAAAGATTTTCATTATTTTGTATAAAGACATGTACTTGGGTCCAGTTCAAAACTGCATTTCTTGCCAGAGGGCAGTGGTGTACACCTATTGTCCTACTCAGGAGGCAGAGGCAAGAGGATCACTTGGGTATACATCCAGCCTTGGTATCATAGCAAGACCCTGTCTTAAAAGAAAGGAGTGGGGAAAGGAGGTGGGAGAAAAGAAGGGAAGGAGAAATTTATAAAATTACTATGTTGATATTCATGTTTTAGAGTAGAAAGGAAATTGGAAGCTTGTATTACGGTTAATGTCTTTGTGCAACGTGGAATTTTTCTAATAACAGTCTTAATGCAAAAGTAATAATTTTCTGACTTTCAGATAAGAAACTAAGTCTATCATAAGAAGATGTGTTTATGCGAATACTATTTCATAATTCTTATATGCTAATATTCATGCCTACCGTGAAATACTTTAGAAAAAGAAAATTCTTGAATCAGGCCTTGGAATCTTAGTACCACAGTACCTTAGTTTACCTAAGAAGCTTTCCCTAGGGCTTAATTTAAATCTTTTGGTAACTCTCTAGAGCAGTTTGGGGTACTACATTACCCAGGTGAGTCTTACAGTATAGTAAAAGATTAATCTAAATTCATGAAATAAACATTTAGATCATCTGGTCCAAATAGATTTGGACTTTTTTTCAATCTTTAAATTGTAGCTGATGTTCATGCTTTATTTATTTATTTATTTATTTAAGTGCTGGTACTTTTTTGGTCTTTTTCCTTTTTATCGCTACCAGGGATCAAACTCACGACTGCCTGCTTGCAAGGCAGGCACTTATGCCGCTGAGTTAAATCCCCAGCCCCCATCGCTGGTACATTTATTGTCATGTAGAAAAGCATTTTTAAGAGTTGTTCCATAACTCTGGTTACTCTTTTCTTTTCTTTTTTTTCCTTTTGAGACAGGATTTTGCTGTGTATTTCAGGCTGGCCTTTAACTCACTTTGTAGCCCACTCTGGCCTTGAGCTCGCAGCCATCCTCCTGTCTCAGCCTCCTGAGTGCTGGGATTATAGACATGTACCACCATGCCCAGCTATATCTTCAAAATTAAATACCCTCATATATTGTTGGTGGGAATGTAAAACAGGGCAGCTACTTTGGAAAAGTCTGACAGTTTCCTAAGTTAAATTTAAAATAATTACCATCGGAGTCCACAGTTTTACTCCTAAATATATACTTATAAGGATTTGAAAATGTATGTCCACAGAAAAACTTTTATGCAAATGTTCCTAGCAGCACTATTCATAATAGTCAAAATTACAGAAAAACCCAGATTTCCATTGAATAATGTATTGAGGAATGAAATGTAGTATATCCACACAGGACAATATTATTTGGCAGTGAGCCTTGAAACATTGTAGCAAGTGGAGTAAACTAGTTACCAAAGCCAATATTGTATGAGTCCATTCATGTGAAATGTCCAGAATAGATACATTCTTAGACACAGAAAGCAGATCTATGGTTGCCAGGGACTGGTATGCTGGGAAAACGTGGAATGAACAATGATTACTAATGCCTATAAGGTTTCTTTCTTTTTTTTTCAAGATTTTTTTTAAAGAGGATAAAACAGAATAAAACCAATCAAAACAAGCCAGTGTTTGTATAGGCCTAAAAGCATTACAAAATCAACAATTGTTACCATGATGCCTTTTGCCTTCAAAATAGCTGCAGATAACTTTGGACATAGTAAAAATCAAACAGAACAGAATAGAATAGAGACAATAAAAACAAAACAATGAATGCAATAAAGGACTTCAGAAAAAGTCTATGGTAAATTCAAAATTGCTACCATGATGTATCTTGCTACCTTTGAAATAGGTGATCATGCCATTGGATTTAACACAATCAAGCAAAACAAAAGAGAATTAAAACCAACCCAACAAAACAATGGAAATGATGTTAGGACTTCCAAAACAAGACCATAGGAAGTCAACAATGGCTACAGCTCTCAGAAGGAGATCCCCCCCTAGATATCCTACTGTGTACCACTCTCCACTGAACCCATGACCAATCAGACCACTGGCCATAGATCTGCAACGTTAGTGAAACACCAAAGTACTATAGGCATCAAATTGCATTTCACTTCCATAGCCATCATCACAGCCTGTGTTTCTCCAGATCAGACGGTCAGTTATTGGGGACTGAGGATGCTGCAGGATGGTACTTCTTGTTTACCAGGCTGCATGCTGGAAGGGGCTGGGGCCTGGTTGTTCCATTCTGGCGAGACTCTGTGCATGGCACTGCTTCCCAGATTGGGTTTGCTCGCTGATATAAGGTTATTTGTTTTTGAGTGAAAAAAGTATTGCGAAATTATATTATGATGGTTAAACAACTTAATTAATCTTAAACCACTGATTTTAATACTCTAAAAGGATGATTTTTATGACTTGAACTGTATTTCAGTAAAGCTGTATGACATTAAACAGAATTGTATATGACACTAAATACCTCCTGTTTTATTTCTTAATTTTAAAGAAGTCCAAATTAAATTTTGTCTCTTGTTAGAGGAACAACTCTTTTCCTGATGAGAATAATGTTGCAAGACTTCAGGAAGAACTCATTGCCGTGAAACTGAGAGAAGCTGAGGCTATTACGGGTTTGAAAGAACTTAAACAGCAAGTCAAGGATCTGGAAGAACACTGGCAGGTATATTAATATATTTTAGGTACTTGTTAAATAGAAAGTAAAACACAAATATCCAGTTGGTATTAGTTTGAAGTAGCTAATGATAAATAGTAAATGAGTTTAAAGTGAAAGCTATATTGTTTTAATGTCAAAATTAGAGAACATTTATAACTTGAAAGTACATTTAAGCTATTTTTCTCTTTTAGTCTTACAATGCAGTGAAAATTAAAGTAAAAATCGGGTCAAAATTTGTAGTACTATTTTGTATTATGTAGCCCATTCTAAAGAACTATAAGAAAATATTCTATTTTTCTTAGGTAGATTTTAAGTCCATTATTCAACTTAAGATGTCAGAAGCATGATACCAATATAATTTTGTGGCTTGTTTTGAAAATGGTTATTTTGCAAAATAACATTTTAGTTAATTATATGAGCACTAGTTTATCCATGTAAAAGGGAAGCTGTTGACAAGGAACAAAATGCAAAGATCTGTTAGACAAAAGAGAAACCAGGTATAGCAGTGCACACCTGGGATGCTGAAACAGGAGTATCACAAGTTTGAGCCAGCATGGGTGACTCAGTGACTCAATGGGACTCTTTTTTAAAACAAATCAAAAAAGGAACTGAGAATGTAGTCCAGTGTCAAGGCCTTGATTTGATTCTCAGTACCGTCATCAAAAATAGATTTTAAAAAAAAGTCAAAAGAACAGAAGAAAAAGGTAATAAGCTACATAGTTTCAAAGTAATGGTCTTGGTTTGAGTGAGTGGTAAGAGAGGAGAGAACATCTAATAAAGACTGAAATTTGCCTTGATATTGCCTTTGCTTCTTTTTAAAAACATATTTGCAAAAACATCAAGATAAAATAAACTGGAAATTAAATGAAACTGGTCCTTGAAAAAGCCTAATTTTGGGCCAAAGATACAGTTCAGTGGCATAAATGCCTGCCTAGCAAATGCAAGATCCTGAGTTCAATTTCAGGTACCAAAAGAAAAAAAGAAAAAACTAAAACAATCCCCCCAACTTCTAATACTGCTTCCTTAATGAATGGCCTGCATTTTTCCATTTCTTGGAATTTTATTGAAGTTAATGTGAAAAATCTCTCATTAAAAAATTAGAATAAAAATTATATCCTTTATAAAAGAATTACTTTGAACTATGTCTAAGTTTATATCCCCAGTCTTCCACTCACTGGCTGTAACTCTTCTGATATTACTTAATCACAATATCCATTTTTTCTGACCTATAAAATGACAATAAAACTTCCTAACTTTTAAGATTTGCTAGAGTTTTTCTGGGGAAATGCTTAACGTAGTATCCATGCTGAAATGCATATTCTGTAAGACTAACTCTTAATACTGACAGTGTTTATGCCTGTATTTTTTATGCATTAGCGCCATTTATCTCGTACTACTGGGAGATGGAAAGACCCTCCTAAGAAAAATGCTGTGAATGAGTTACAAGATGAACTTATGAGCATTCGACTTAGAGAAGCTGAAACACAGGCAGAAATTAGAGAAATAAAACAAAGGATGATGGAAATGGAAACACAGGTATGATGAGAACTTTGATCAGTAGATCAAAGTTTAGTGGGTTGATTATATCATTCCTAGAGTAAAGGTAAAAAGATGAAGAAGATAGGAAACTTTGTAGACTACAGTTTTCTAGCCCAATGAAGAGAGCTAAAAGTAGTTTCCTTTGAGTTTAGAGATTTAATTTTTGCTTTGGTTCAACAAAGTTTATACAAATAATTATATTAAGCAATTATATTTATTAGGTAAAACTTATAGAGCTGTCTTGTTGCACAACTTGAGAGGGAACTGTCATGTAGAACAAAATTTTGCAACTCAATACTTAACATTTTGGATTAGAAAACTCTTCATTTTATGGAGCTGACCCATGCACTGTAGGATGTTTAGCAACATCCCTAAGATTTACCCATCAGGTTCCAGTAACGTCTCTCTCCTCCCAGTACATGATGACCAAAACTATCTCTACATCTTTTCACATGTCTCATAGGGGTCAGAATTTCCCCTGCTTGAGAAGAATCACAAATGTAGAATATAAAGGGAATGATGCTTTGTCAATTTGTGTCATGTGATGAACCTCTTTTTTAAAAATTTTTTATTATTTTGAAGGTAGTAAAATACAACAGAACAAGATGAAACAAAGCCAATTTAGACAGTGTAGTGAAATTGGTACAGGACTTCACTGCAGGTTACCGGGATAACAATAATAGGTACCACAATATATCTCGTTATCTTCACAATAGTTGTTCTTTCAATCAGGTATAGCAAAATAAAATGAAATACAAAACATTATAGAACTTATCAAAACAATATTGAATAGAGCAATACCATTAATCAGAATAAATCAAAACAGTGGTAAAAATATTTGCCTTCAAAGAGATGGTAGAAGGAAATCCCCCTTATTTGCTATATTGCATACAGTCAACTTCCCAAGAGATGCTCAGATCTCTGGCTCCCATTTGTTAATGGGGGTTGGGGAATGGGGGAGAGGTGGGATGTTTGATTCTCAGCCTGTATGCCAGTAGGCTTACTACCACATAGCAGGGAGGTGAGCTGGTTGCTTGGTTTCCCAGCGCCCTAAGTTCCAACATGGTGTGGATCTCAGGAGTTGCTGGTAGTTCTCGCTCTGGGGCAGCCACAGCCTGCCACACCACAGCTGCTTACCAGTGCGGCAAACTGATTGCTTGGTTTCCCAGCACCCTAATTCCAACATGGTGCAGATCTCAGGAATCGCTGGTGGTTCTTCTTCCTGGGGTGGCTGCAGCCATGTGATGAGCCTCTTCTCAAGTTCCCCGTTCTTTAATAAATCTTATCTTAAATATACTTAACTAAGATTTTCAAAAATCTTTTCACAAAATCCATTTGTGTTGTAAAAGTACATTTTTTATGTGGTACTTGTGCATGGATCATTTTGCACGTATAGCTGTTCCTTAGTATTCATGGGAACTGTAGATTCCCACAGATGCCCAAGTCCTTTAGTATTAACCTTTGTATACTCTCCCATATGTTTAAACTAATCTCTATAGAGTACTTATGCTACCTAATAAAATGCAAATACCATATAAATAGTTTTTGTTGTTGTTATGCTCATGTAGGGAGTGATGCCAAGAAAAAAGATACCTGTGTGTTCAAAACAGATGTAATTCTTAAAAAATATTTTTGATCATTGGTTGAATTCATGAAAGTAGAACCCATGGATACAGAGGCTGCCTGTACTTCTTGAATGTTTTCAAAATATTTATCAGTCAACAGGGGGCATTGTTAACTCATGTCTCATTCTGTACCCCTGTATGCAGAGTAATCCTCCTATCTCAAACATGATAGCATATTTCTTTAGAATAAAATGTGTCTTGTTTTACATTGTTCAAAGTTATTGTCTTATGTTTTTCTGTGTAATTAAAAATGATGTTGAAGAGGAACTGTAAGCTTTGAAGAGTAAAATTCTAGATTTTAAAATGGAAAATTTTATTTTTACAATCAAAATTCAACTTAGTGTAGATAATGAAAGCATAAACGCAACTTTTAAAACAGTTTTGTGACTCTGCCTAGTAAGTAGATATCAGTGAATCAAATTGAACAAACATGTGAGACACAAAAGCATTATCCAAGTCACTAAATGATTTGTTCAGAAATCAGGCAGGCAGTGTTTATTATGATTCAGAATTTTGGTAAGTAGAAAGTTAGAAATTGATTATCTATAAAAAGAAGTTAAATTAATTCCAGTTAGGTAGTTTTGGGGAACTTTCTATAGAATTTGTATTTTGAGTCATGTTAGACTAGTAAGTATGTTTTTGGGTAGGGTTCATTGAAAGGGGAGTGGTGTAAGGCACTGATTCCTAAATGCCAGTGCTTGGACTAGTGACAAATCACACAGTTTTTCTCATTAAAAAATAAGAAAAAAATAGTAGTTTAATGGTGTATTGGTGCTGGTATATATTCATCAAAAATATATTGAGCTCTCAAACCTACCATCCAGACAGAAATTTGCCCTTTATATGTGCCTTTCAAAATTCAGTCTAACAGAATTTTTTAACTCTGAATATATTAAAAACTGCCAAACTATATGTACACTTAAAGGAGGTAAATTTTATGTATGACCTTCATCTTCCTTAAACAATGAAAATATCTTACTTTACAACTTCTTTTAGGTGTCATTTTAGTCCATGCTTTGTGTTTCTATTTGGATTTATGTCTGTCTCCTTACTATCTCTTTATTGAGCATTTATTATGGTTTTGTTTTATCTTCACAGCTGACTTTATTTTTTTATGCCTTTGAGAAATTTCATTAGTAGTTGCTCTAGATCAGAGGTGGTAAACCTGTGTGTGTGTTGTTTTTAAGATTAAAGATGTTATTGCATGAGTTGTTTTTTCTAAAGTAAAACCTTAGTTTAAAAATTCAAGTTTATTTGCAGTGTTAACACTTAGTTTTGGGTTGCAGTTTGGGCATTTGTCTCTAAAAGGTTCGTTGTCACTACTCTAGATTTTACAATATGTATCTTTGGCCAGAGATCTCTTCTGAATAATAAATTTTTAATTATAACTACTAAATTTGAGGTTTCTTGTGTAATATGAAGTCCTTACAACAGTATATTTTCAATTCTGCCTACTTTGTGCTATTGTTTTTATACATTTTATACTGTTTGATAACAATTTTTCTTTTAGTTATCTTACAGATACATTAATTTTTTATGTGAAATATATTTTCCCTTCAGTTATTCTATTTCAGCAGTCATTACTTTGTGTATATCCATGTTTCTGTCTTTTATGTTCTTTCTTCTGATTAAAGAACATTTGTATAACATGTCTTATGGTGCCGATCCTCTGGCAATAGATTCTCTTCATATTTGTTTCTTTGAAAAAATGCTTATTTCTCTTAAAAGATATTTGTCGAATATTAAAATCTGAATTGACAGGTTATTTTCTTTAAACACAGGAAATTCATTATTTTCTCTTCAGAAATCTAGCAAGTCAAACTGGTTTTGTTTGTTTGTTTGTTTTTGTTCTTTTACATGTAGTATGTTTTCCCCTGTGGCTGGCTTTAACATTTTCTGTCCTTTATTTTTTAGCAATTTGGATATGATATCCCTGAATGTATTTTTTTCTCTAAGTTTTCTGGATTTGTGGATTTATGTCTATGGTGAATTTTAGAAAAATCCATTATGTCTTCAAGTATTTTTTTCTGCCCGTACACTCCTCTTCTGAATTCCACATGTTGGGTTATTTCATGTTGTCCAACAACTCCTGTTCTGTTCCTTCCCCTCGCTACCCTATCCCTCCTTCTTCCTCTTCTTTTGCCTTCTGTTCTGTAGGGGAATGAACCCAAGGCTTCCCACGTGCCATACAAATGCTCTTGCACTGAGCTATACCTCCAACCTTCATGTTGTACATAGCAAGGTTACTCTGTTTCCTCCCTAGTACATGCTCCCATTATTTTCTCTGCCTGGGTTTTCAGCTTCTGTTAGTTGAAACATTTCTATTGACATAGTAAGTCCACTGGTTTTTTTTTGTTTTTGTTGTTGTTCAGGTTGTTGAAGTATCCAACAAGCCATTGAAAGGCATTCTTTACATTTATCAGTGGTTTTCATTTTTAGCTTTTCAGTTTGATTCACACAGTTCTCATTTCTGCTGATATTACCTATCAAATCTTGAATATTTTTCACCCTTTCCTTAAAGTCTTTCACATATTAATCATACATATTTTAAATTCCTTGTCAGATAATTTCAAAGCCTGGATCATGTATGAAGCTCACTCTGTTGATTGCTAAGTCTCTAGGTAGTATTTTGAGGTAATTGTTTACCTTCTCTGCTTTGTAAATTTTTGTTGAAAGCTGGATATTTTGTATAGGATAATAGTTTGATTCATAGTATTTATGCCTAGAAATTGGTACACTTGTCCTTCTGTGCTTTTCATATATGAGATTTGAGTTAATATAGTCAAAATGTGAACTGAGTTTGAGATTTGTTGTTTATATCTACAGTGCACCCTAAACTGCAAATTCCATTGGCAATACCTTATATTTAGAGCATGGGCTGGTTTGCCAGTGGGCTTTTCTATGAATCTTTAGGTCTTTCCTCTGCACAACACCTTGTGAAGTAGATCTGCCTCCATCAGTGTTCCTATTACTTGTACAGAAAATTGGAGGAACAAGGATTCATTATTTTAATAAAGTCTATGTCTTTGGGGCTGTATTATGTTTTTATATCTGGGATATTTGGCTTTTTAATGTTGCTGCTCACCACCAGCTATAGTTTTAGGTCCTCATACAGTCCTGCCACTTCCTGCAAATGCAGTGGTTTTCATCAGTCTCTCAAGAGCAATAATGTTTATTAGCCTTGCCCCACAAAGATCAGCACATTCATTTCTTTTCTTTTTTTTTTTAATTGGTACCAGGGATCGAACTCATGACTGCCTGCTTGCAAGGCAGGTGCTTACGCCGCTGAGCTAAATCCACAGCCCCTAGAGCATTCATTTCTTAGATGAAAAAGGCAAGATTAAGTTAAGTTTCCGTCCTTTAAGTCTATACCATGAATGTATCTCTTAGGAATCTCACTAGTCTTTTTTGTGTGTAGCTATAGGGATGTATGATGAAAAAATATGTAAAAGTTGTATACATTTTTTTTTTTTTGGACTTTTTCATTTTTATTGGTACCGGGGATCGAACTCACTATCGCCTGCTTGCAAGGCAGGTAGTTATGCCGCTGAGCTAAATCCCCAGCCCCCTGAAAGTTGTATACATTTTTAGATCTCCTTTCTTGTACGGCTTCATGTTTTCTGAGTCATCCAGTATTTGGCCTGTACCAACTCCTTATTTATTCTGGCTGAAAGGTACTTAGGCTGTTCATGTTGGCATATACCTGTAATCCTGCCATTCTGGGAAGGTATCTTAGTTACTTTTCTCTTTACTGATACAAAATAACTCAACACTCAAAGTTAAAAAAGGTTTATTTAGCTCACAGTTCATAGTTGGCTGGCTCCAACTATGAGTGGCACATGGCAGAGAACTGTCACGGAGGAAAAAGAGTTTATTGTGAGCAGAAGACAACAAAAGCAAACAAGAGACAACAACAACTCTTTCTATCCCTTTTAATTTTATGCAAGCTACTTAGGGCAAGTAACATACCCTCAGTGTCACACACTCTAGATCCAGCCACCTCTGAAAAAGTCCCACCTATTACCATCTGAGGCTTCGAGGGACATCTAGACCCTAAGTGTAGCACTGAGGCAAGAGAATCACAAGTTCAAGCACCATATACACAACTTAGAGTCTGTCTCAGAAATAAAAAGGGCTGGGTATGTGACTCAGTGCAAAAGCCTAAATTCAGTCTTCATCCTGCAGAAAGTGGGGACGTGTTAAATTGTATCCCATCTCTCCTAGTGGGCTTCTGTGTTGAACTTAAATTTGGTTGCCTTTTTTGCCCCCTGTTATTTTATCAGTATTCTTTTTCTTTGTATGATATTGTTTTCAACCTTACCTAGTTTCTGTTGGAGTTCTGTTGTTAGTTTTTTTTCTCACCCTATATATGTACTGTTTTACTTTTATAAATCTTTTTTATTTCCTATTAGTGTTTGTTACATGAAAAAAACAAAAATTCTAAAGTTAGTAATTATATCTCCATTCTAAACAAGTTGTTATTATACATTTTTTGTGCCTTCAAATTATCAGACATACTGTCACTTTAAGAATTAGTATTACTTTGGATTTGTCTATTGGCCAGTATTTTGCTATTCTTGCATATGACAGTTTCTTGCTGATTTCCCAGACCTTTTTTTCCCATGAAATCTGGATGCACAGTCATTTTCGTAGTGAGGCAGAGTAGGTAGAATAGTAATAGTGACAACCAACCATTTCTTTAGTATCTGTAAAATTTCAAATGTTTATAATATGTCTATGATGTCTTTTACTCACATAAGCTTTACAATACATCTTCAGAAGACAAGTAACTATCTGTATCTTTTCTGTGTACTAAAATTTGTTGGGATTAAGTAACTTGGTCAAGATTGAAGAATTGTCACTTTTTTTAGTTTTTCAAGTTTCTATTAGTTAATTCAGTTCACTAGCAGAATATTCTGGGATTGAGAGAATTCAAACTGGGTCAATCCTGAATAGGAAATCTACCTCATATTACTCAATTTAGGATTAATTTTTTTTAGCATACCCTGTAATTATAGTAAATACCTAGCATTTATTAAATTCTTACTACTTACTGGGCTTTCTTACATGTATTATCTCACTGAGTTTTGAAGACAACTAAATGGGAAATAGGCAGTATCTCTATAGACATTTATGAAGAGCGAGATTAGAGAATCTGATATTAACTAGTAGTTTAACTACTAAATAGCAGAGCTAAAGTTCAAACCAGCTTGTGTTATATTGATGAAGACTATGATATTGGAGAAATGTAAAAGTACACACAGTAGTCCATACAGCAGAATTTACAGTCCATTTAGTATTAGTGCTAACTTTTGATCCATTTGTGTTTGTTTGTTTGGTTTTTCTCTACTTGTTTTGTATATATTGCCTCCTTTAGAAATGATTATCTTCAAGTTGTGTGTAAATATCCTTACTATTTATAGATATTTTTGTATAAATGATATATTGCCTTATGAGTTCCTGATATTGGTTATATGTATTCCTTTGAAGGATCAGATTATTAAAGCAACTTTATATCTTGTTTTTCAGTGTTTAGTTGTTGAATATGATCTACCTATAACTAATAATATTTTTATAATGTGGTAGAAATCTTTCAGTCTTTTTGTCTGTACCTGTTTGTATTTCTGATTATTAGAACCAAATTAATAGTAATCATCTTCGAAGAGCAGAACAGGAGGTGATCAATCTACAGGAAAAGGTGCACTATCTTTCTGCCCAGAACAAAGGACTACTTACTCAATTAAGTGAAGCAAAGCGCAAACAAGCAGAGATTGAATGCAAGGTAAATACATATAATCAAATAGCTGGTTTATGTTTTTGTCAGTGTAATAATGCATTTTATAGGTCTGCTTCATACATTTTCTTTCAAAATAAAACAGTTTTCCCACATTTCTTGAACTTGTTTTGGTAGTTACTTTCAGAGCAGCTTACCTTTTTTTTTGTGGATGGATATCATAAACCTCATTTTCAAACATGTTCTTGATTATCTTAGTTTTCTTTTTTGTTTTTTTTAAAGTGACCTTTTATAGTATTTCTTCCTATTTAAAAACTGAAGCTTTTAGTGATGCAACCAAAAGATAGGTAATTTAGAGAAGTTAGGACTCCCCTGCTTTGATTAGTATCTTCCTAGTGAGCAGTAAATATTGATACTTGTTTTCCAGATGAGTAGAAAGTAAAAGAGTTGTTTATGCATAAATGGGTTAGGAAAAGTACATACATTTTCCATTATTTTAATCAGATTTTCTACATGTGTATATGTGTATAAACATTTGATCAGAAAGCATCAAAAGTCAAAAGTGTTTGTGATGAAGGACATTTATTTCTTGACATCATCTAGCAGTGATCAGAGAGAGAAGTTGGGGGGTAACGTTAGAGAGAATGAGAGTATGTGTGTGTGTGACATAAGAGATAAGTGTAGTCTGTGCATTAGAATGGCTTACTAAACACAAATTACAAGATTTTAAAATAAATTAGGCATCTACCTTGCAGATAGTTGAAATGATGCCCTTTAACTCCATATTCTAGTCATATTATTCTATGAGAAATAAAGACGTTTAGGGACACGTATAATGCTGTAATTCCATCAACTTGTTCTGATGTCATTAAAAACCAAGAGTAAAGCTTGAGTGGTTTATCAGTGTCACTAAAATCCATAGATGAAATTACATCCTAATAAATATGCATGATTGTTACAATTGATACTTGCAGAAATCTGTAGGCAGTACTAAAATTTGTACTAACAGAAGCAGTCCATTTTGAATGATTTGACTAATTTAAAAGTAAAATGATGTGAAATGAGATCAGACTACTATGTGACTGACTTTTTATTATGCTACATTGTCTATGCTGACTAATAGATAACTAAATTTAATCTTTTATCGTTATTGATGTGGTTTTCTTTAAACATTTGGTAGCAAATAAGATCTGTTAGCAAAGTAAAATGTTTTGGGAAATAAATATTTGTGAAACTTGCAAATGAAAATGATTTTCCCCTCTGAATTTATCTAAATAGTGGGTACAGATTCAGAATATTATAAAATTTTAAGAACAGATCTAGGATTAATACTACTATTAAATATGGTACAGAGGCTATCTCATTTCGTATGTTTAATCTGTGTATTGATTTATTATTTGTAGAACCTTTGCAGATTTTAATAATTAATACCATGTATTGTAATTCTAGCACCTAGTACTTTCTGAGTAAATATGTATATTTGCCTTGTTATATTGAAACATAGGAACAAATACAACTTTTTAAAGGAAGGCAGTCCTTGAAATACATAAATTTGATTCATTTTCATATAGTTTTATATAATTATAGCTTACAGTTGTTGGTAATTACTAAAGCTCATTTTATTTTTCATTTATGCAGAATGTCTGGATATTGTTTATACTCTTAACTATTTTCTTGCTACAACTGAATTTAAATATTTTCAATTAATGATAGTAAAAGTTTATGATCTCCAGTTTCAAAATCCAAAAGACTATAAAACTCAAAAGTTTATTCATAAATTTTACACAAATTAATTTGGAGGTAAAATCTGATTTTTTGTAACCATCTATAATTTGTTTTTATATTATGTGGTACAGTATTTATATTTCACTATTTCATTGTAATGTTGCTAGATCATACTAACTTATGGTTAATACATCTTATTAGTTTTACTTTACTTTTCTTTTTTTTTTTTGGTATTTTTCCTTTTTATCGGTACCAGGGATTGAACTCATGACTGCCTGCTTGCAAGGCAGGTACTTATGCCGCTGAGCTAAATCCCCAGCCCCTTTACTTTTCTGATTTTAGTATATGTGCTTCCAAAGCTAGCACACTTTTACTTTGCTAAAATCTGGGAAAATCTCAATTCCAGGCATTTCTGGTTTATTATTTTGTTTTGTTTGCCACCCTAGAACAAGGAAGAAGTAATGGCTGTGCGACTCCGAGAAGCAGACAGCATAGCTGCTGTGGCTGAACTACAGCAACATATTGCTGAGCTTGAAATCCAGGTACTAAGTGAAAATAATAAAGTAGCTCTAAATACCATGTACTGGTCTCCCTTCCCTGTGCGTATGAACAATGGCATACTTACATCTTCAGCTTTTCTTACTACAGTTCTGTTTCCAGGTCTGTTTTTTATTATGGTAAAATATATATAACACAAAATTTAGTATTTTAAAGTGTATTTCTGAGGTATTAAGTGCATGCATTCACACTGTTGTATGAACACTACCATCCATTTGCAGAACTTCTTTCTCTTCCATACCTGAAATTCTGTATCCATTAAACTAACTTTCCATTCTCTCCTCCTCCCCGTCTAGCTCCTCTCCTGCCTGATACTAATCATCGTACTTTTTGTGTCTATATTTGAATATTCTCGGTACCTCATGGAAGTGGGATCCTACAGTATTTGTGCTTTTGTGACAGGCTTATTTCATTTGGACATAATGTCCTACATGTTACAACATGTAGCTGAATATTATTCTACTGTCTATACTTCATTTTGATTATCCATTCATTGCTTCTACTTTGGAGCTATTGTGAATAATACTGCTAAGAACATGAGTGCACAGATACCTGTTTCTTTTCTTTATATATACTTAGATCGTATAGTAATTCCATTTATTTTTTTGTGGAATTACCATATTGTTTTCTATCATAGCTACACCATTGTTCATTCCTTTCAGCAGTGCACAAAGGTTCAATTTTTTCCACATTCTCACCAACATTTGCTAAATGTCTGGGGCTTTTTTTTTTTGGTACCAGTGATCGAACAACTGTGTGCTTGCCAGGCAGGCACTTATGCTGCTGAGCTAAATCCCCTTCCCTCTGGTGTTTTTTTTTTTAATCAGAGATCAAACTCAGGACTTCATGCTTGCCAGGCAGATGCTGTGCCACTGAGCTATACCCCCAGCCATCTTTTTGGGGCTTTTTAAAAAAAGAATCTTTCCTTTAAATGTGTATGAAATGGTATCTTATTGTGGTTTTTATTTGCGTTTTTCTAATGATTACTAATTTTAAATTTACGTACTTGACATTTGTATATCTTCTTTGGAGAAATGTCTTAATGTTCTTTTCCTATTTTTAAATCAGTATGGTGATGGTGAGTTGTCAGTAACGGTGAGTTTTGGAGTTTTTCTTCTTTGTATGTTGTATTCTTGATATTGGTCCCTTGCTCTATTGTTTGCAACTGTTTTCTCCCATTCTATGGATTATCTTTTTCTTTGTTGATTGTGACCTTTAATACACAAAATTTTAAAATTTGCTCAAGACTTACAGATATCTTTGTTGTTTTGGTAGAAGTTTTTAATTATATTTTTTAATCTAAACCACAATGTAGTTTTTTCCCCTCAAGGAGAGGTATAGATATTATAACATCTAGATTTTTTTTCACCATCTGAAATTTCCTTTTGTCCTTAAATTTCAATTTTATTTTGTAGCCTTTCCATATTTTATCCTTATCATTTGATCTTCATCAAAATCAATCATATTATGAATATATGTTTATGTTTTTATTGCCTATAAAGTATACACTTTTTTTAAAAATCCTCAGAAATCAATCATGGTTTATCTAACAGGTTTTCTGTATCACAAATAACAGAATTTCGTTTTTTAAGACTGAATACAATTCCATGGTGTACACTTAACTGCATTTTCTTAATCCATGCATCCATTTATAGGCACTTAGGTTGGTTTCATATCTTGGCTATTATGAATCTTGAAAATACTGATTTTTTAAAAAAATATGTAACCAATAGTGGAATTGATGGAATGTATGTCAAGTCTATTTTTAATTTTCTGAGCAGCTTTCATAATAATTCATCACGAGCCAGAAATACAACTCATCAGTACAGCACCTGCCTGGCAAATGTGAGGTCTTGAGTTTGATTCCCAGCACCAAAAAATTTTTTCTTCATGGCCGTAATAATTTACATTCCCACCAATGTTGTATATAAGTTACCTTTTCTCCATATCCCCTCCAACACTTGTCTTTCATCACTTTAAGGATAGCTATTTTAATAGGTATGAGATGATAAAATTTGGGAGTGTTAGAAGTGGTTGGCTGTTTGTAAAGTGATTACTGGAATCTTACTGATTATATTTTCTTCAGCATTAAGCTTGTTGCCTATCACATATGTCAGCAGTCCCCAATCATTTCTGCTCCTATGAGAATCTGATGCTACTACTGACTGACAGGAGACAGGGCTCAGGCACTAATGCTAGTGATGGAGAGCTGCTGTGAAAACAGATGAAGCATTGCTTATTCACTTGCCACTCACTTCCTAGTGTGTAGTTCAGTTCCTTACAGACCACACAGACCAGGGATTAGGACCCCTGACCTGTATCATTATTGACTATTTCATTTTTTTTGCCCTCCTCTCCTCCCCTGACTTTTTTTTTTTTTTTTTTTTTGTCTTTTTCGTTTTTATTGGTACCAGGGATTGAACTCACGACCGCACACTTGCAAGGAAGGTGCTTATGCTGCTGAGCTAAATCTGCAGCCCCCGCTCCCCTGACTTTAACCTACGTATTTTTCACCCTCTTCTTTCTTGTTTGCTGTTTTCAGTCTCTGTCAGTTCTTTTTTTTTCTCCTAGTAAGAAGCCATTGAATCTGTCAGTTCTTCATTTGTCTTCAGACAATCCAAAATTTTAACTTTTAAAAACTAAACCAAAATGAGAGGTCTCATGGTTTATAGAGCCATTTCTCTCCAATCTTAATCTGTTTCTCCTGACCATTTTTAAGCCTTTTATTATTAATCATATTATACAGAAAGTTCATAAAATAGAGCTACATTGTGATATATTTTAAAAGATTGCACATAAAATTAAAAACACATACCAAGGTCAAAATAGAAAACAGTGCCTATGCCCAGGAAGTCTGTTCAAAATACTCAACTCCTTATCCTTTTGGGATGGTTTTTCCATTACTGTTCCTTAAATTTTGTCATTTTTATGTGCATTTCTGAACACAGTTTTCCCAGTTTTTCAGTTTTGTGTGGAGTCACACTGAATAGTTTCTTCTGTGTCTTTCATTGTTCAACATTACTTTTTTGAGTCATCAGTTTTAATGCTATACATAATTCATTTTTAAAACATCATGGTGTAGTCATTTATTCTTCTATATGTGGACATTTTGGAATTTCCAATTTGAGACTGTTACGAACAATACTGTGATTATGAGCAGTCTGGTACACTATATTGATCTTTATTTTCCTGAGTGCTTCTAATAGTTTAGATTTGTCACAGCAGCATAAGAAAGATTTTGTTGTTCTACATCTTCCTCAACTCTTAATGGTATTTCATGTCTTAATTTTTGCCAATCTGATGGGTATGTATTGATAATTTAATTGTGGTTTTAATTTAAATTTACTTCATCACTAAAGACATTGACTGGCCAGGTGTGATTTTTTTTTTTTTTTTTTTTTTTTTTTTGTCTTTTTCCTTTTTATCAGTACCAGGGATCGAACTCACGACTGCCTGCTTGCAAGGCAAGCGCTTATGCCGCTGAGCTAAATCTCCAGCCCCCCGGGTGTGATTTTTAAATACCTATAATTCCAGCTACTTGGGAGCTGAAGTAAGAGGATCATAAACTCACTGCTAGCCTTGGCAGTTTAGTTGAGACCCTGACTGAAAATGAAAAGAACTAGTGGTAGAGTGCTTGTCTACCATGGTTGAGGCCCTGGGTGCAGTCCACAGTACAGGGATTGGAGTGGGGTAAAAGGGAAAGGTTGGTCTTACTTTCCTTCTTCTTTTGACACTTTATTTATGCTCTCTTTTTTCATTCTTTATTGGTTATACAGATTAATGATTTTCATTTTGGCAGATTCATACATGCATATAACATACTTTATTCATTTTCACCTTCCCCTATTGTCTCTGATCCTATACTGCCCAAATTTCCAATGGAAGGAGTTCAGTGCATATATTTTGATCATAGCCATGTCCCCATTATTGGTATACCCCTTTCCCATTCCCTTTCCTTTTGTCTTCTTTCTGCTTTCTTACCATCTTTTTATAGATTTCACTTATTAAAAACAATATACTGTATTTGTGTTGAACATTTGTTGAACAGCTCTAAGCTCAGATTCAACTACCTAAACAGCAAAGTTCAAAAAAACATATGCTCAGTGTTTGAAACTTTGCTCAATAATCAAACCAAAAATCCAACTTGAAAAAACCTGTATGGGTAGAGAGTGAGTCATGTGTCAGATCTTGCCACAGATTCAAAAGGGTAACCCTTCTGTCTTGAGTGTGGTTCTCACCCAGACAACATCTAGTGCTTGTGTTAGTGTGTTCAAACTTTCATCATTGTAATTATTTTGTATGTGATTTATTTGTGTAAAATGTCATAACCTTTGCTGCAAAGAATGTTTAGCAGTTGCCAGATGTGGTGGTGCATGCCTATAATCCCAGCACTTGGGAGGCTGAGGCAAAAGGATCATTATGAGTTTGAGACCAGCCTAGGCTACAAAGTGAGCTCAAAGCCAGGCCAAACTGCATAGTAAGACTCTTGTCTCAAAAAGACCAAAAAAAAAAAACCAACAAAAAAAAACCCCACAAAAAACAAAAATTTAAAAGTGTAATTACTTGATTTCCTATTATTTCTTATGGGAAAATTATGTTCAATTCTCAAACTTTTCAGTATTCTTAAAGTCGACTTTTGAGGTATCACTCTGTGTGTGTGTGTGTGTGTGTGTGTGTGTGTGTGTGTGTGTGATTACATGTATATCACATTTTATCATTCATCTGTCACTGGGCATTTAGGTTGGTTTCATATCTTGGCTATTGTGAATAGTGCCATAATAAACGTGTGTATGCAAGCATTTCTATAGTGTACGTACTTTAATTGCTTTGGGTATACCAAGGAGTGGTGTATAGCTAGATCAAATAGCTCTATTTTTAATTTTTCAGGAACCTCCAGACTGATTTCCATAATGACGATCCTAGTTTACATTTCCACTAGCAGTATTAAAAGGTTCCTTTTTCTGTTGCATTCTCACTAGCATTT